CGTGACTTGAAAACATTAAGGAACAACCCAAATAATGGCAAAAGGGTCATAATTGAAACAAATGATTCCAATCATAGAGTAAAGCAATTTTTCAAGCTGCACTGAAAATTGTAGTACATACCATCTAATGCTATAGTGTCCACGTGAACTTTAAAACATATTCATTAACAGAATAGGAAAAGAATGTTTATGTTTTTTGTCAAAATCCACAAAAGAGATGTAACAACAGCTTCAAAATTCCTGATTCTATAAAAATGATCATGTAAAGTCAAATTTTTATAGCATTCCAACAGAAAACAAAAAACTACTCAGGCTTATCACGGCGACGCCCAGGTGTCCTATCGTGGAGACAGGACACCTGGAAGCATGCCTCGAGACGGGCTATGGCGTCCCAGTCGATGCCATAGATGCCAACCCTGTCCAAACCCATAAACTCAACCCACTTTTTTTTTTAATTTTTTTTTTTCAAAAAAAGGATATATCACCGTTGACGACACTTAGGATTTGTGCTGAGAAGGGAGAACTCAAAGAAGAGGAGACATACTCCAAACTCCAAAAGAACCAAACTAAAAAAACCAGGACTATGTGGTCCAATGGTACCCGGGTTGGACTTCCATTTGGAAGATTATGAGTTCGAGCCTCAGTGGAGGCGTTATTGGTTCTTTGTGTTTCAGTAGGTTGAGAAAGTATATGAACAGATACTACAATGTAATAGAGCCAGTAACTTTCAAAAAAAAAAAAGATTTTGCCTAGGCGTCGCCTAGTTGGTGACTTGATTTATGTTGAATATATATATTTGTGTGTGTGTGTATTTTAACTTGTCGCTTAGGCGACAAGACGGTCGAGGGCGCCTCAACTTAACAGGGTGTTGTGATTAGCTTGGAACAGCTAAAAGATTTGATGTGTTTTCATTTGATGAAAAGGAAAATATGCAATCTTAGAAACATAAACTAAAAATAAATTATAAGACCATCTGGTCCAGTTTTTTTGTGAGCCCCAGCATTCACCTCATCATCCACTATCTCACTCAATTACAAAAATCGTTCTTAGTTTGGAGTTTTTTCTCAATTTTTTTTGGACTCATCATTTTATTATTCTATATTTTAATTATTTCTTTATTTATTTGAATTATAAATTTATAATTGTAATGAAAATTAATTAAAATAAACATACCTACATATTATTAAAATGATAATTATAAACATTTAAATTAATTTTCATTGCTCTATATTATTTTAATCATTTTAAAATTTAATTGTAATTAAATTATTCAAAATTTAATTCAAAAAAAACATATTACATATTTGAATTTTGTGAAAAATTTAAAACAAAAATAATAAAACAATAAAACACAAACAAATTAAATGTTAAAAAAAAAAAAAAAAAAAAAACAACAAAGAAACAAACAAACAAACAAACAAAGATGAGAGTTGTTACCACATATCAATCGCCCAAGAGGGCACTGTAACAGACGCATTTGTAAAAAAAAAAAAAAAAAAAAAAAAAAAACAATTAACAAGTTTTTTTCTATTCCAAAAACAATCAAAGAACCCTATTGGGTTGCTCTAAACCAGTTCCCATACAATTTATGATTTCAAAATAATTCACCATTTTCTAGGGCTTAACTACTCTGTTACTGCTGATATACAATAGGTTTCTGGTGAATCTATAACAAATGAGATTACACCAAAATTGGGTTAGATGTTCAGCTAAACCCCAAGAATCAATAGCCCATGGTGGAGATTTTGTGATTGCTGTCCAATCAGACTTGACCATCTCCAATGGTTTATATTGTGCACCAATAAGTCATTCATATTGCTGCACAAGGAATGAAGACAATAAGCAATTTAGCAATTTATAATTTAATCGTTTTTATTTTTTTTTATTGTTAAAAAATCATTAATCTTTAAGTCAATCACACAAACCAAAGACATGGATATTTGATATCCCCTGTATGCCCACTATCCTTACAGTAGTATACAGAAAAGACTCAATCCATTGAATATAGCTATAGCTTTCTTGAGTCTGATCATATCCATAGAATAGGTCGATGGGAAAGCTGTTAAATCCATGCTGGGAATTGCTGGCGGCCACGGAGAAAATGGATGCAGCAGATGAAAATTAAAGGTGGTGTTTGCAGCAGCAATGGGCAGTGAAACTTGCTGCTACTAGTGCAGCTTAGAGATAATGGTGGTTGGTTATAAATGTGTGAATAATCTGTGGGAAAAGGCACTGTTTGTTGCGGTTCACAGGCGCCTAGCGATTTTTTTAACATTGTTTGTTGCTTTAATTTTTTTTTTTTTAATTACAGTCTAGAAAAGAAGATGAAGAAGAAATGAGGAAGAAGACAATTTGACTAAAAGGGATGAGGGAGAAGAAATTACCATATTAACCCTACATTTAACAATCAACTAACGAAACTATTAACAGAGGATCTAATTGAATAAAATCATCAAAGTCTAAGACTTAATTGAGTACAAAAAGTTATTTAGGACTAAATTGAGTAAAATTACTATAGTTAAGGACTAAATTGGGTATTAACTCTCACAGATTATTATTATTATTTTTTATAATAGGAAATAGGAAATTAGATAAGAAGATATTGTAAAACGAAGAGGCATTGCTCGGAAATCAAATCCCAATACAAAGACAATTCCACCTTCCTCAAAACAAACCCGATAACAAAGTAAATCAGAGGCCTAAATGATTACCTTCAAATTCTAACTGTGCAACCATTCACCAAAATTAATTCGCATAACAAGTAAACTGGATTTTTCTATTTCTAATGCATAACAAGTAAACTGGATTTTTCTATTTCTAATGCATAAGAAGTAAACTAAAGTGGATTTTTAAATTGCCACAAGTGACAATCGAACTGTTTGATTGAGTGTCTTGAAATATTTGAAGCAGAATTTTAGGTCTTCATCATATGCTATTACAATCATGTCCCCTTCCTGGTCCTTATACATGAATTTAAGGACAGTTCCTCTTGTCTTCAAGTGCCGAAAACGGATTCTAACTGCAGCTTTCAATTCCTTCAGGATTGGAAGGGCCAGATTGACCCTAACCATATCACCCATATGTTCCACTTTAATAACCCACATGTTGCTCGGACCTGCCTCATCATCAGAGAAATCGGACGAACTAACCTGCAGATTCCTCATGGGAATGCCGGCACCGGAGTAGTAGGCGGAGGCGGTGAGAACAGTGATCGGGCGAGCGTAGTAGGCCGCGGGGGAAATAGTCATCCTCGCATCTGTCCTTCCCAAATCCGCCGGCATAATATTCTTCTCCGGCCCGCTGGGGTAACCGGAAACTGTCACAATATCAAGATCACCCACGGAGGCGTCGGTGCGACCTCCAGCGGAGATCACCGACGGGGGCGTTGGTGCGACTTCCGGCGGAGGCAATGCATCAGCACCGTCATTATAATTATCCATCACCAAGTTTTCTGAGGATGACTGATGGAAATTCAAGAAGATTGACGGTTTATTTATACCCTCCTGTAACAAACTTGTAGTGAGATACCTCCCTTAAAACCCTTTGTTGGGATTAAACTTCTTCTTTCTCCTTTCATTGAAATTGATTCCCAGCAGTAAGTTGATAGGAATATAACGGAATAATGGGAAAGCAAATAATTGAAAATTGAAAATTGAAAATTATAGAAGTTAAATAATATGGAAAGTATATAGAATGACAAAAGAATTAATAATGTGGGAAAATATATAATATATATATTAACTCTAAATATAGAGTACAAAAGCAAAATATATATATATATATATATATATATCACTACTACAGAAAACGGTTTTAAAGTCGGTTAAAATACCCCATTTAACGTCGGTTATCTTTCGACGTCGACTTTAGAGACGTCGTAAGTAAATGATACGACTTCGGTTAAACAACCGACGTCGTATGTAACATACGGCGTCGGGTTTTAGGGTAAACCCGACGTCGTATAGTATTCATATTTTTTTAAAAAAAATAATAATTAACCTACGGCGTCGGATTTTAGGTAAAAACCGACGGCGTATATATTTATTTAAAAAATAATAATTAACATATGACGTCGGCGTTTAGGTAAAAGCCGACGCCGTATATATTTATTACTTTTATAAAAAAAAAATAATTAACCTACGGCGTCGGTTTTTAGGTAAAAGCCGACGCCGTATATATTTATTATTTTAAAAAAAAATAATTAACATACGGCGTCGGCTTTTACCTAAAAACCGACGCCGTATATATTTATTTTTTTAAAAAAAAATATACGACGTCGGCTTTATCCTAAAAGCCGACGTCGTATGTTTTTTTTTTTTTTTTTTTTATTATATTCGTTTTATGGTTTCTACCCAACCTGTATCAATTTTCAAATCCTGCGCAGCTAGCAATTTAACATTCAACATCAACTAATTTATTAAACTAATTAAAACTATTAAACATGAAACTAATATAAAGAACATAATTCATTAAGCTAATTCAAGCTACTAAACATAAAACTAATATAAGTACCACAATTCAACAAAACTACTAAACATTATTCCAATAAACATAAACTAATTTTATACGTAAAGTATCAAACTATTAAACATGAAACTAATATAAAGAACACAATTCATTAAACTAATTCAAGCTACTAAACATAAAACTAATATAAGTATCACAATTCAACAAAACTACTAAACATTAAGCCAATAAACATAAACTAATTTTAAACGTAAAGTATCAACAAAGAAGCGTTTTATTAAGCCATTCATCAATAAGAAACTTAGACCATTTGTCTCTAACTTCATCAATCTTTTTTTTTTGTTGTAGGGCAATCTTCCTTGTCTTTCCAAAGCCTACAAAGTTCAAAAGAAATAAAATTAATAAATAAGCAAGTATTTTTAAACATTTGAAGCAAAAAGATATATTATGAAATTACTTGCCTTATCCATTCCTTTGCTTAGGTTGTTGGAAACAATTTCCAACATGAACTTCATCACATAATAACCACATTCGGTGGTTCCCTTTTGTATAGCACACTACATTGAATTACATTCAAATTAAAATAAATTAATAAAAAAAAAACAATAAGTTTACATGTTTTACAATGTGAATGAAGTACTTACCGAACATATAGTCCATTTCGGTGGACGATTTTGTTTCTTTCCACTCATCATGTTTGTTGCAGTCATACACCTATTAATATAAGACATAGAATATATAAATACTTGGCATCACTAGTTTAATGATAACTACTAATTAATTATATAAATTTACATACGTTTCCATTATATGTTTAATGTCTTCACGCGGCCCATGACCAAGTGAATCAAACCAAAAAATTTCATTTAGTCGAGGACAAATAGCCATCAACATCCAATGCTCACTACAAATAAATAATTTATTAGTTTTAAGTGAATATAATATATAATAAAAATATATTATATATAAGTACTTTTATTTAAAACGTAATTAATACTTACTTGAGAACATATGGGGCTAAGTATACCACTTTCTTCTCAGACTGCATGGTGGAATTTATATACGATTTCCTGTCTTCCATATTATTCATTTGTGGTTGAATCCAATATGGATCTAGGAAGCCATACATGTCTTTTGATGCCAACTCAAAACTAATGTAAATACCCCTATTCACAAACACAACCATTTATATATAGATTACCAACTATATAAATATAAAACTATTATGAATAAATAATACTAAAGAACTTGTTACCTCATAAAGAACTGAACTAGAGAAACATCGATGGTCTCCATTTGTAAGAAACGCATTATCTCATCACTTGCAAGGTGCAAGTCATAGTCAATGTTGCCCATAATACCACGAGCCACATGGACCACAAGAGGGTGTTCAAAACGGCGAGCTATTGAAAAGGCCATTTTGCATCCATCAGTCAAAGAATCATGATCAGTTATATTGAGTTGTTGATGAACGGATTGCACACCCGAATGAAAAGTCAATTTGGTCTTTTCTTTTGACTGTGAATTATAATACAAGTAAGAATTATTATTTTAAAAAGTAAATTACTTACTATTTTAAAATAGAAATATTTTCAGTATACATACCGCATCAGATTTAGTACATAACTCTACCAGCTTCTTTGGCCAAGCAATAAAGTGTTGAATTGCATCACCTACAAGCTGAACCTCACTGGTGGGGATTGGTACATGTGCACTTGGATCACTAACTTCATTTACGCTCACCTTCACATGATTTATATCCAGTACAACCCCATGAACCTGTCCACCACTGTAAGCTGTCCCATATGCCACTGGACGTCTAATTGGATCTTCTAAGAACAGTTGACATCGTGCCCCTAACTACATTAATTTTTAATTAAAAATCATATAAAATTTTATTGATAAATAATAATAAGATAACTTTAAACGAATACTTACAGCCGGTAAATTACTAAAAGGGTCTGGGGAACTAGCTTTGTCACTTGGAGGCAGTGGCACAACATCCACACATACGTCATCCACCTGCTTTGCTTGTAAAGGAGTCTGCATAGCACTAAATTTCAACATCATACTAGCTATTCTTGCCTCAAATTGCTCTGTTAATCGTTGACCAAATTCCTCCCGTTCAGCAATATTTTCCTGCTTTTTTTTTTTCTAACGCTACTGCAACAGCATCATCAACCATTTGTTGAACATCTTCAGAAGGCTTTTGGCGACGTTTTGCATGACCAAATACACTTTTGAAGCCATGTCCTCTTCCCATGGCTCTAACACGTCCAACATGCTCATCAGTACCCAATGCAACAATCAATGAATCTTGTCTTCCTTCCTCAACAAATTTTCCTTGAGAAATTTGGATCTCAAGAGCATCCTAACATATATAAAAATTATTCAATAATAATTACTATTACTTTAGTAAATGACAACATATTTACTTACAATTTTTTCCGCCACCAATCTTGTTGATTCAGTGCGATAATTTCCTGACTATTCTTGCTTTTTTCCACTTTTCGGCTCTACGTGGAGGACTTGGAAGACTCATTGTATACGACGGATCTGCATCAGCCAATGCTTGTTTTTCTTTCAACTTCTCATCCATCATCATCTTCTCCAACCTTTTATAACCTCCTCGAGCTAAAAGATGTGGATGAATATTCTTAGCTTGTATGTCTTGATATTTTTTTCTTTTTGCCTATATAAATACAAAATATTAATCAAACTCTTTACATGTCCCTCATAATAATGATAGAGTTTATGTTCGAAATATTGATAGAATAATAACGATACCTCATATTCTGGACCTGTATGCGACTTTACAAACTCATTCCAAGTCTCTTGTTCAATGAAGTCGTATTTTATACATGGGCTCATACCTGCAAAACTACCGTATATAAACTTGCTCACCAATTTCGCTTTAAAATCTTTCCACCAATCACCCACATATTGTATCCATTCTTTCCTCATATCAGTTGTGTCGGGAATATCATAAGTATTCTGCAAAACAAAATTATTTATTAGTTAGAAATGTAATTATAGAAACTTTATGAATAAATCAAAATCTTACAAAATGAAAAGTTACCAGGATTTGTTTCCAAATAGTATTCTTAATAGTTTCTGAGACATTCGGCCATTCATCTATTGTGATAGGAGTATGTGTTCGTCCCACTAATGCAACATAACTTTTAAATGCACTGCCTTCTGGCCCGTAGACAGGCTCCAATCCATCCAGCTCAATGTGGTGTTTCCCTTCAGTAGAACGCTGCAGAATGAGTTTTTGCATACGAGTGGCGTCCCTCGTCTTAGAAGTAGTATTACTACTTTTAGTAGTATGAGTATCTTGTGTAGTACCATCCTGTGTAGTACCATCTTGTGTAGTACCATCACCATTTGCTGAATCCATACGCCTGTTTAGAAACAAAAATTATTAGAATATATAAAAGTACTACAATAAGAAAACTAAAAAACAAAATAAATAGTGGGCATTACATGTAATAATCAATTCTCCCATATCCCTTAATGATGATCATCTCGTGATGCATGTACTTCATCTATCTCATTATCAATAATAGTGGGCAATAAACTTGAAGAAAATGGTGGTATTTCCTTAATATCAAAACTAACATCTTCATTCCCATCTCTAGTAATTTGTCTCTTTCCATGAAGAACAATTGACCATTTTTTGTCACAAGGATCACTAATATAAAAGACTTGTTTTGCTTGGGATGCCATTATGAACTGCTCATTTTTGTGCCCTTCACGATTAAAATCAACAAGTGTAAATCCCAACTCATCAACTTCCCAACTCATCAACTTTTACACCATGTTTATTATCTACCCATCTACATTGAAACACAGGCACCCTAAAAAAACATAATCAACTTCCCATATTTCTTCAATCACACCATAATATGACAACTCTGCAAACATAGGATTTGTATCTTTCGAACTACTAAAATGCATTGAATTTGCAACCAAAGTAACTCCACTGTTTTGCATAGTGCTCTTTTCATCTTGAGCTTTTGTATAAAAAGAAAACCCATTAATGTCATACCATTATAGCATATGACATCCAAACCAGGACCATGTGCTAACCATGAAATAGTTTCAAACATATTATTCTCTTCAATAACTTTATTTTTGAACCAATGAATAAATGTTCGATTATGTTCGCCCACAATCCACATGTCTGTCCTTCTGGGATTTTGCTCTCTAATCAATGCCTTGTGTTCATCTAAATACGACTCGACTTCACTTGTATTATGCAAGATGTACAAGTGTGTCTCCTCAACATCTTCACGAGGCATAGTCTTCATTTTGACTCCTCGAGTACCCTTCCCAGCAATTCTTCCTTCATGTCGATTAGTAGAAACACCAATAGCCTCTACCCCTACCAAATATTCTGTACAAAACTCAGTAACCTCCTCTGCAACATAGCTTTCAACTATAGATGCTTCCGGCCTATATCGGTTCCTAACATAACCTTTTAATACTTTCATGTACCGTTCAAATGGGTACATCCACCTCAAATAAGCTGGACCACAATGTTTGATCTCTCTCACCAAATGCACAAGCAAATGAACCATGATATCAAAAAATGAAGGTGGAAAGTGCATCTCTAGTTGACACAGTGTAACAATAATGTCATTTTGCAATTCATCTAATTTGTCTGGATCAACAACTTTCCCACATATTGCATTGAAAAAGAAACAATGTCTTATGATGATATATCTCAACTTTTTAGGCAATATGCCTCTAACAGCCACCGGCAATAGTTGTTGCATTAAGACATGACAATCATGAGACTTCAACCCCACCAACTTTAAATCTTGCATATTAACAAGTCTACTGATATTTGATGAATACCATTGTGGTACCTTTACTCCACGTAAACACTCACAAAAACTTATTTTCTCCTTTCTTGATAAAGTATGAGCAGCCGGAGGCAAATATGTTCTCTTATCCCCGCAACGTGGAGCTAATGTAGGTCGTATACACATTTCAACCAAATCCAATCTAGCATTGAGTCCATCTTTAGTCTTACCTTTTATGTCTAAAAGAGTTCCAACAAGACTATCACATACATTTTTCTCCACATGCATCACATCAATACTATGTCTCACATCTAGTGTCTTCCAATATGGAAGATCAAAGAATATAGATTTCTTTTTCCACGGACTCTTCTCATTTGTAGGTATCTCTTTTGACCTCTTACCTCTTTGAGATTGAAGCTTTTGAGTCTTACCAAAAGTAACATTGATGCATTCAACTCGTTCATAAACTTGATTCCCTGTTAATGGTTGTGGAGCATCTGTATAGTCTTGGACCCCATTGAATGCCTTTTTTAATTTTCTATAAGGGTGAAATTTATCAAGAAATCTCCGATGCCTCATGTATACAGTCTTTCTACCATGAACCAGTTGATGATAACAGGTATTATCTTCACATATGGGGCATGCCTTATGACCTTTGACACTATATCCAGACAAGTTTCCATAAGCTGGAAAGTCATTGATTGTGCAAAAAAGCATTGCATGCAACTTAAAAGTCTCCTTCCGGTATGCGTCAAACACTAACACACCTTCATCCCATAATTGCTTCAAGTCATCAATCAAAGGCGCCAAAAAAACATCTATATCATTACCTGGTTGTTTTGGCCCAGAAATCATCAAGCTTAATAATATGTATTTGCGTTTCATACACAACCACGGGGGTAGATTATAAATTATCAACATAACTGGCCACGAGCTATGCTTGCTACTTAGGTTCCCGTGGGGGTTAATACCATCAGTACAAAGTCCAAGTCTAAGATTTCTCGACTCGTGGCCAAATTCAG